GTACACACTCGTCAAATAGCAGTGACAGAACGTTAGTCTTCTCTTCTGACTTGGAAAGGATTTAAAATTGCCGGCGAACTTTGCTCGGAGACCCGCGTCCACTGAAAAAGCTGGGAATGCTGATTACAAACATGAAAACCAAAATGCTGACTGAATCCCGAAAGCGAGTTATGGAACGGACAAGCTAACCATTTTTATCAAAACCTGTCTTCGAACTGTGGCAAGAATTCCACGTGTTTTCGCGCCCAAAGGAGGTGATACTGTATACAGAAAGTCAAGCTAACTAAGGGGCAAACTTTTAAGCAGATCGAGACAGCATCTGCTTATGTGCCTTACAAATTTACATGTTTGCAAATTTTAGACGCTTATAACTCGCCCACGTCCTAGGTTCCCCGCTCGAAATTCCGAGCAGGGTTCATCTCCCTTGGGGAAACTGAAGTGGGATCCTTTGATGGTGAATATGTCCCTTGAGAGCTAACATTAGCTTAACATCGGTTTACAGTCGAGATAGGGAAAGAAGCTAGCGAGAAATCCACAGTACGGCAAGGTGCAGTCGCGGGTCACGAGATCTTATTCGATACAGCTTGGATTTGAGTCGAATCAAATTGGGAAATACAAGCCAGTTTGAGTGCGTCGCAACGTGGACCTGCCCACCAGTCTCGTATGGTGTACTTTCCCAAAAAATGACGTCAAACAACGTCAAAGAAACTGATTTACCTTCACTAACTGCTTCACTTCGCACCCTATAGGCTTCTCCTTTGCAGTTGCTTAGCCTACTTAGGTTCTTAGATTTGATAATTCATTATCGGCACTCTCGTTAGGAACACTTGAGGCCAAATCATAGTGTATAAAACCAAAACTACGACACGTTAACATAAAGCACAAGTGGTACGACAAGAGTAAAGCTGCGCGAACTATGAATGAAGAAGTCAGAAGTCGCCACTTCTTCTTACGAAAGCATCTTGTCCGTGTCAGTGTCTCGACTAAGTCGTCCTAATTCCAGCCTTCCACCTTTTTTCAGATTCACAGCGGTTCTTCCCTGAGCACTTCAAAACTCATACTCTCCTTTACGGACTGTCGGGGTCAGTGCGGCTGCGTTTTTCG